ACACAACTCCAACACCATCAAACACACACCACACACCACCAAACAACTCCCACAACACCACACTCCACATCAAACACACACCCACACCCCACCAAACAACGCCCGCACCACCGCCCACCTAACAGCCCACACCCGAACCAGCAACCAGGCAATCAGCAACGAAACCACCACCAAGCCATGGTTTCAGCGGCGCCCTTGACCACCTAACAGCCTCTGGCCAGCTAGGTCTCCTCCGGGCAACTCCTCCGACAGGGCAGTTCCCTCCCACCATGATACTTGCGTCACAATTTAGTGTAAAATGGTACACATCCTGCCCGCATGTATCCAGTAGTGTATCCTTCGGCCCGCCATTCGCCTCTGGTAGTTCCAACAGCTGTATTTATCCATGCTGAGGGGTAGGTGGGGAAGGGGGGAAGGGGGAGGAGGAGGGTAGTAGTGAGGGGATACAAAACGTCTTGCCTTACCTCCTTTATTCTTGTCTTTGCTTTTATTTCCTTCCATTTCTTTCCTTCCCTTCCTTGCGTCCTCCTCCCTCCCTCCTCCCTCCCTCCCCCCTGCCTCCCCTCCCCTCCCTCCCTTTGCCTTCCACTTGCGTAAAAGGACGCGTTTCGACAGAGGAAATGCCTGACGAAGGTTCTCTCTTTTTTTCTCCATTCTACATCATCCATTCTTTATTATTCAACAGGATAAGGCGCTGATAATGACCAGGGTCCGGTCCCGGTGCGAGGCCGACTGTGACGCGGCGACTACGCAAGACTACGACGCCGACGCCAACGCACGGGGCTCTCAAGGGCAAGCGAGGACCCCGGCAAAACACCCGCCGCCGCCCCTCGCCGTCTCTTTCACACACCGCGGGGGAAAAACGCCCCGGTTCCTCGCGCTCCGGCCCGGCTCGCCGTCACCGGATTCATGCCCCGCTGTCTCCGGCCTCTGCTCTCCGCCCGCCCGCACGCACGCCCGCACGCCCGCAGTCGGAACCGAGGGCGTGTGACGTCGCCCCCTCGGCCCGCCCACCGGTCCCGGGCCAGGCAACAGCAGCGGGATGGGCAATGGTGAAGATCGCCCGCAGGTTCGGCCTCCGGCAGCTCCAGCCGCGCCAGCAGGAGGACCCACGGAGGAAGTCGCACGCCCCCTGGGAATCTCCGACGACCGTCTACCTCGCCCCCGGGTCCTCAAACCACGCCATCACCCCTGCCACCTTCGCGCCGACCCCCCGCCCCCTCCTCCGCCCCTCCCCTCCCTAGCCCCCTTTTCCGCCCTTCCCCTTCCTCAACTTCGTCTTCTCCCCTCCTCGCTCCCCTCCTCCTTTCTTCCTTCGCTCTTGGTCGGTCTGTCTATCTATCTGTCTGTCTGTCGATCGATCTATCTGTTTTTTCTCCTTCCTTCCCCTCTCCTTCCCCCTCCTCTTCCCCTTCCCTCTCTCTCTCCCTCCCTCCCCCTCCCCCTCCTCCCTCCCTCCTCCCCCCCCTTCCTCCCTCCCCTCCCTCCCTCCCTCCTTCCTTCCTCCCCCTCCTCCTTCCTTCCTTCCCTCCCCATCCTTCCTTCCCTCCCCTCCCTCCCTCCTCCTTCCCCCCTCCCTCCTCTCCCCCTCTCTCTCTCCCTCACACACTTGGGCCAGAACGGAATTCCATGCTCAATGCACTGTCAATTCAGGTGATGAAATTTTCCCTCCGAAACCCGAGTGAAAATGTTTGCTTTTATATTAATGCGCGAATCTATTTAGACAAATTATGAATGTGAGTATTCATTTTGCCCAGAACTGAATAAATTATGTAGAACAAGTTGCACTTACCATAAATACAATTCAAAACTGCTCAAAATGATGCACGGATTTAGAATGTATACAGATGAATTAAAAAATATCCGTATATTATTTCTTTTTAACCAATTTACTACAAAAATACAAATCGTCCAAGATCTTGGGCGATTCTTGAGAAAAATAACTAAATAAACAGATACACAAACATATGACAGATAAACAAAAAATAAATCCACATAGCAATACACAAATAAATAAATCCATAAATCCACACACCGACACCAGACCAGACACAGAACACACACACACACACACACACACACACACACACACACACACACACACACCACACACACCACACACACACACACACACACACACACACACACACACACAACACCCTCTCCCCTCCCCACACACAACCCCCCCCTCCCTCTCCCACCCACACATCTAAATAAATAAATATCCCCCCACCCCACCCCAGCCGCAGCCCTTAACCCTCTCCACCCCTAATACCTGTCCATTAGCGGATAATAATGCATTCTGGTCTAATGTGATGAGCTTGTGCTGCGTGACAGACATCTTCGGGACCATCGGCGACACCCTCACGACCTGCCCTGTCGCCCTCAACACGCCCCTGCCACAACACGTCCCTGCCACCTTCAACACATCCCTGCCACCCTCAAACACCCCCTGTCACCCTCAACACGTCCCTGCCGCCCCCAACACGTCCCTGTCCCTGACACGCCCCTGCCACCCTCACACGCCCCTGCCGCCCTCAACACGTCCCTGGCGCCCTCAACACGCCCCTGGCATCTTCAACACGTCCCTGCCGCCCCCAACACGCCCCTGCCGCCCCAACACGCCCCTGCGCCCCACACGCCCTGTCAACACGTCCCTGCCGCCCTCAACACGTCCTGCCCCTCAACACGTCCCTGCCACCTTCAACACATCCCTGTCGCCCTGCCCCTGCCGCCCCCAACACGCCCCTGCCGCCCTCAACACGTCCCTGTCACCTTCAACACGCCCGTTCACAGAGCTCTGCCATCTGCCCTCTCTTTGCCTTATTTTCTTGTCTTTTTTAGGTATTTGTGTTCGTTTTTTTTCGTTTTCCGTATTTTTTTTCTATTTTTCGTTTTTTCTTTCATTCTCTCTCTCTCACTTCCATTTTCATCCCAAATATCCGTACGCCACTCCCTAACCCTCTCCTATCCCCACCCCACCTCTCCCCCTTCCTTCCCTCTTCTCCTCTATTGTCGATCTTCATCCCCTTTCCTCCCTCCCCCCTACCCTTCCCTCCCTCACTCCTCCCTCTCCCACCCTCTCTCCTCCCTCTCCTCACTCCTCCCCTTCCTCCCTTCCCTCCCTTCCCTCCTCTCCCCTCCCCCTTCCCTCCCTCTCCCTCCCCTCCCCTCACCCCCCCCTTCCCTCCCTCTCTCCTCCCCTTCCTTCCGACTTTCCTTCGTCCACGACAAAGCGCGACGGGGTTTAAGACAATGCTATTCCCCCCCCCCCACCCCACCCCACAACGCCTGTCTATAATACGGCAAGATTCCCTTTAACAGTGAAAGCAGCAGCGACAGGCGCCGCAGGTCGTGAGCCAGCCCTTTTGCCCATTCCTGAAGGGGGCGTGGCCAACTGAGGGGGGGGAGGGAGGGGGGGGTGTTCTGAAGAGAGCTAAGCGACGGGGAGGAGGGGAAGGGGGGTAGTGGGAGGGAGTGGAGGAGGAGGAATAGAGGATGGGGGAGGTGCAGTAAGCGGGGAAGTAGAAAGGGAGGAGAGGGAAGGAAGGGAAGGGAAGGGAAGGGGAAAGGATGGAAGGGAGAGAGCAATAACGTAGATTCCTTTTGGGGAGAAGAGACTTTACGAGTCATAGAATATGGTTAAAACAAATCACATAAAATTAATTTCTGTCATAGAAACGAACGGCTAATATCTGGAAGGCGGAGGAAGAGGAGGAGGAGGAAGAGAAGGAGAGAGGAGAAGGAGGAAGAGAAGGAAGAGGAGAGAGGAGGAGAAGAAGAAGAAAAAGAAGAGAGAGGGAGAAGTACAAGAAGAAGAATGAAAAGAACAAGAACAAAAAGAAGAGCCAACAAAAGAAAAAAAGAAAGAGAGAAGAAAAAAAAATGAAGAGGCGCAGAAACTACCGAGGGAGCAGAGGGAGGGATGACTTCATTCTTATGTTCCATTCTTTCCCATTCAGTGAGGAAGAAAATAGAAAATCGCACAAGTGACTTCACCCCCCCTCACCCCCTCCCTTTCTCCCCCCCTCACCCAACCCCATCTCTCTTCCCTTCGTGGGAGACACAGCAGAGTATTTTCCTTTTTTTCTAAACAAAAATCTCGATAAGCACGATATCAAGCAACTTCAACTAATACTATTTATAACCTCCATCTTCCTTTCAAGTGAAAAGCGAACGAAAGAACATATTTTTCCGCCATGTTTTATGCTGCTTACACTCAAGAACAATACTGAGAGAGAGAGAGAGAGAAGAGAGAGAGAGAGAGAGAGAGAGAGAGAGAGAGAGAGAGAGAGAGAGAGAGAGAGAGGAGAGAGAGAGAGAGGAGAGAGAGAGAGAGAGAGAGAGGATGGAGACGAGAGGAGACGAGAGGAGACGAGACGAGAGGAGAAGAGATGAGAAGAGAAGAGGAGAAAAATGAAAAGACAGAAGAGAACAGAAAAAAGAAAAGAGAAAGAAAAGAAAGAGCATAAAAAAATAAAATACAAATAAAGAAAAAGAAAAAAAGTGAGAGAGAGAGAGAGAGTGGGCGGCACAGACATTATACAGGTGTAAACTCCGCCTTACAATGAACTCACCTGGGCGTGGGGCAAGCACATGTACCTTGCTGGTCTCGTGTGTTTATGTGTGTGGGCGTAGTGTGTGACGGGCGGGTAGGGGAGAGAATGGAGAAGATGGCGTAAAGGAAGAATGGGAGAGGAGGAGGAGGAGGAAGACGAAGAGGGAGAAGGGAGACGAGGAGAGAGACGAAGAGGGAGAAGGGAGACGAGGAGAGAGAAGAGGGGAGACGAGGAGAGACGAGAGGGAGACGAAGAAGGAAAGGGAGAAGAGAAGAGGAGAGAGAGAGAGAGAGAGTACCGAGACAGAAGAGCAACGGAAAATAAAAGAACAAGGAAGAGGGAGAAGTCGAAGAGAGCAGCGCAGAGTGGCAAGGAGATGCACGGAGCGCGCACATCCGCATGAAAGTGGCCTAGGGCGTGTGGGTTAGGGTCTCGCCCCCGATGGCCCCCGATGGCCCCCGGTGGCTCCCGAACACGACAAACCGTGGCCCTTTGAGGTCTGTTCGGGTGCCGTGCGGTGTGACCCAGACCCGCGAGGCTACTGAGCGCGCCCCTGCCAACTCACACCGCCCTCGCCACCTCCGAGTCACCGCACCGAGTCACGACACCACCTTCGTCGAGTCGCTACACTCCCGTTCGAGTTTCCTTTGTGCGATTTCATTCGTTTTACGTACCAGAAAGGGAGGGGATGAGAGGGATGGGAGGGAGAAGGGAGGAGGAAGAGAGGGATGGAGGGAGAGAGGAGGGGAGAGAGAGAGGAGGGAGAGAGAGGGAGGAGAGAGAGAGAGAGGGAGGGAGAGAGAGAGAGGGAGGGAGAGAGAGGAGAGAGAGAGAGAGAGAGAGAGAGAGAGAGAGAGAGAGAGAGAGAGAGAGAGAGAGAGAGAGAGAGAGAGAGAGAGAGAGAGAGAGAGAGAGAGAGAGAGAGAGAGAGAGAGCTTATCCTCTCCCCGCCTGCTTCTCCTCCTACACACAAACCTTTTAACAATGTACAATGGACGCCAGCCGCGGCCTCTCTGGCGCCACACTTAAATACAGCATCGCCACCTTCTACAAAAACTCACTCCCAGGATCAGAGCCACACCCAGCCCTCCCCCCCCCTCGCTGGCGGCCCCTCACGCCCTCGCGCCGCCCGTCCCCTGCCTGCGCCCCTGCCTCACCTTTACCACCTGACACCATCTTGGACCCTCTCCATCTGGCGCCTCGTCTGACCTCTCCCCGCGAGCAGGCAGCTCCCCTGGCCCTTCCGACAGATGGCTTCGTCGCGCCGGCTCCCCCTGGGCCTATGCCCCGAGGGACCCTCGCCCCCTGCTCCTTCAGCCCCGCCCCCCCCCACACATCCTCCTTCCCGTGGGAGCCGCAGCCGGGGCGAGCGACTCGGGCCCCGGCGGGCTTCGGATGCGCTTCCTCCAAGCACTTCGCACAAGGGATTCTCGGCGGACTTTTTCTCCGCGGCTCCACGCAGCGCTCCGGGCGCCGCCGCCCGCCCGCGTAAGCGCTTTCCAATCCCTTCCCACGGGAGATCAAGGCGGCCGGCAGCCGAGGGCGCGGCGCCCCCGGGCTCGCTCTCCGCAGGGCCTCCTGGACGGCCGGCGAGGCGAGGAGCCGCCGCCGTGACCCGGGCCGCGGGATGAGCCTCGCGCCGCCCGCCTTAATATGGAGCGGCCTACCGCGGGCGCCGCTCGCCTACTCAGCCTATATATGTAGGGAGCGAGAATGCGAAGTCCCGCGGCGTGTGGGTGATCGCTCCTGCATAGGGTACTGCCCGCGCCCCGCTCTCGGAACGACGTGGGTGGGCGTGCGGAGGCGCTGCGCTGCCGAGGGTGGGCGGGGGGGGGGGGTGATAAGGATGGGGGAGGGGGCAGCAATGTTGGGAAAACAGGTGTGTGTGTGTGTGTGTGTGTGTGTGTGTGTGTGTGTGTGTGTGTGTGTGTGTGTGTGTGTGTGTGTGTGTGTGTGTGTGTGTGTGTGTGCGCAAGAGAGAGAGAGAGTGCGCATATGTATTTGTGTATGCTTATACGCATGCGTATGTGTGTGCGTGCGTATGTGAGTGTGTCCGTGCATGCGTATGTCCGCACACCTGCCTGCGTATCGCGTGCAAGGCCACTGGAACCAAGTCGGCAAGCGCGCGAGTAGCGAGTGTGGGTTGGAATGTGCTTGTGCGGGTGAGGACGAGGGTGCGGGTGGGCGAGTTAGAGGCGTCCGTAGGGCAGGTGTGGGCGGCGGGAAGGAACAAGAGAGGCCCGCCCCTACACCGCCCGCGGCCCGGAACCTGGATCTTGCCACACTCCGCCACCGCCTTCAATACACCTTCCTCTGCTGTGATACCTGCCTGCGCGCCCCACCGTGACAACTTAATAAAACTTACGCCCGACACTGGAAAAAAGGAAGAACGACATGCACACACGCACACACGCGCGCGCGCTCCCTGCCTGGAGAGTCGGCGGCGAGCACCACGACTTTCTCACCCTGGCGTCCTCCTCCTCGCTCCCCTTCCCGATCCCCTTAACGAACGCTGATACGCAACCGAATCCCCGCTTCCATGACGGTAAAACAAGCAAGGCATGGTTCATCTCCGTCGAAGTGTCTCCGGCCCCTTCTCCCTCCCCGACATCCGACCGACCGACCAACCGACCGCTACCGATCGCCAGACGTCCCTCTCGAGGCGACCCAAGGACCCTCGCACTTACCTGCATACCGCGAGAGGGCTGCACCTGACGACGGGGCAGGACGAAGGGAGATGGAACCGGACGAAGTGCCTTGAAATCCCTCCCCTCCTCTTCCTCCTCTTCCTCCCCCTCCTTCCCCGCGCCGCCCTGGACGCCACGGGCCCGGCATGCCAGGCCCTTAAAGAGCTCTCGCCAGACTCTATCCTTAATGGCTACGGTGTTCCCCGATTTCTCTGGCGCTGAGGATGGCCGGGCTGATTCATTTGCAAGACCTGCCTCCCTCCCGCCTGCCCTCCCCCGCCCCTGCCTCATTTCGGCTGTCTGTCATGTACGCGCATGGTTGCAGTTACCATGTGCGTTGACAGAGCTGTCCTGCGTTTGTCTGACTACTCCCCCCCCTCATTCCACGCGACAGGACGGGCGTAAAAACGCACAGCTCCTCCGTGGCTCGGAAACTCGGCCCCGCTCGCGCCCGACCGCCTGCGTGCGGCGCGGTGCTGGGCGTCACCGCATAGCAATGTCTTTACCTTACCGCCTTCGCCTCAGACAAAGTCGTTGCAGAAACCTTGCAATCTGTAGCCACGGAGGCCGCGTGCTGGTCGGAGATAATGGCTGCGAAGGCCGCTCTGCTCCGGCTGGTGTCACTGACTCACACCGACGCCTCGGGCGCCGCGGACACAACACGTCCTCCAGAGAATTTGTTGTACGCCCGTGGACCGAAAGTGCAAGGAATGGGCGTCCTTCGACGTAAGCAGGACGCACACACCAAGCGCTAAACCCCGGGATCGCTTTTTGCTGCACGTTCTCCCCCCGAGCAGCAAACTTCATCAAACCCCGAAGGCGTTGACAGTGTGGTCAGCCAAAGGAAAATAATTCCCCCTCGTGAGATCATTATGATCCCTGGGCGAGATCCCGTGTCTATTTACGTTCCCGCTTCCACGAAGGCCATCCGAACCACGCTCCTTCACACGCGCGCGGCGCTGAAACACGCCTCAAAAACGCCCCTTCGCCCACAGGAAAGAAAGGGCCGAAGAACCCCGCGAGGCACCCACGCCGCCATCGAAAGCCCCCCCCCCCTTCGACGTCTCCCTTCCCACGACCCTTGCACGCGGGAAACACCGGCGCCGCCCCACCAGCTGGCAGCGCGACGACGGCGACCAGGAGCGCGAGTCCCGATGGTCGCAAACTCCCTTTCGACGGCGGCCGCGACCAGCCTGGGGGCCCGCGCGCACACCGCCGCGAGCGCTCCCCCAACAAAGCGCCTGGATATTCCGACCGGTAATCGCAGGAATCCGCTCGCTCCTGCCTGGCCACCACTCGCACTCGCCCTTTCATTCGAGACGGAGAGCGGCGCGGAAAGGGGGGGGGGGGGGGGAAACGAGCGTATTGCGTCCAAGGTCCGCTGTGAAAGTGACTCCTCTCGCGTTTCACGGGAAAGAACGAGGCACGCCGAGATTTTTCATCAATGCCAAATACTCGAAATCCATTCTTGTTACTGGAAACGATCGGGCGATGAAGGATTTCGAAAAGAGAGGAGAGAGAGAGAGAGAGAGAGAGAGAGAGAGAGAGAGAGAGAGAGAGAGAGAGAGAGAGAGAGAGAGAGAGAGAAAGAAAGAAAGAAAGAAAGAAAGAAAGAAAGAAAGAAAGAAAGAAAAGAAAGAAAGAAAAAGAAAGAGAGAAAGAAAGAAAGAAAGAAAGAAAGAGAGAGGCAGAGAGAAACGAAAAGATCGAGAGAAAGTGAGAGGGAGAAGAAAAGAAGAAAAAACAAAAGGAGAAGACCCACTGAGAGAGGGAGATAGCAGAGACGAAGAACTTGACCACGACTACGCATATCCTTTACGCACGTACGCCTCAATAAAGGCCTAAACATATTAAACATATATCAATAAACCTCAACTTTTTAGACGAGTGTACACATCCGCTGGCTCCCCGCGAGAGAACAACAAAGTACGAACACGGACATCAAATCTCGCACGCAAACGCAGGCAGTCACGCAGGCACGCACGCACGCACGCGGTCACACCTGGGTTCCCTATGCCAAACATCAATCCCTCTCCCTGCCCCCTCTCCCTTCCCCTACCCCATACCCTCATCCCCTAGCCCATACCCTCACCCCACCCCCATAAAACGTGCCTACCTACGCGTGTAAAATGTTAAGAATGCATGTTTACGTCCGCGAGGCTGTAAGTGTAAAGAATGCATATATTCATGCATGGCTGAGAGGAGGAGGAGGAGGAGGAGGAGGGAGGAGGAGATGGTGGTGGTGGTGGTGGTGGTGGGTGGTTTTTGGTGGTGGTGGTGGAGGAGGAGGAGGAGGAGGAGGAGGAGGAGGTGGTGGTGGAGGAGGAGATGGTGGAGGAGGAGGAGGATAAGGAGATGGAGGAGGAGGAGGAGGAGGAGATAAGACGAGCAGGATGAGAGATGGTGGAGGAGGAGGAGGATAAGGAGATGGAGGAGAAGGAGGAGGAAGACGAGCAGGAGGAGGAGGGGGATGGAAAGAAGAAGTAGAAGAAGAAAAAGAAAAAGAAGAAGAGACGGATGAAAGGAGGGCTGAAAGACTCGATGAAAGCAAAGGGAGACGAGAGGCGAAGGAAAAGCCAAAGTGGAGGAGAGAGGAGGAGAAAATCCACCAGGGAAGGGACGTGAGGATAGGAAAAACACCGAAGAATAGGAAAGGAAGAAAGGAAGGTAACAAGGGGAGGAAGAAGGAACAAACAAGAGAGAGAGAGAAAGAGAGAAAGCACGGGCGAGGGATAAGGTCCGAAAGCCACAGGGAGGAGTGTGAGGGGGTGGGAGGGGAGAGGAGGTGGGGAGGAAGAGTGAAGGGGAGATGAGGGAGTTATTTTACCGAGAGATCGTCCCATCACCTGTGTTTGTGTACTCTCCTAGGGTCTTCGCTTCACCCTTCGCAGCCCACGGAGAAGACATTCCTCAGTCTCCTCTCCATTTCTCCTCTCTCTCTCTCTTCTTTCTTTCTTTCTTTCTTTCTTTCTTTCTTTCTCTCTCTCTCTCTCTCTCTCTCTTCTCTCTCTCTCTCTCTCTCCCTCTCTCTCTCCCTCTCTCTCTCTCGTCCTCCTTTCTCCTTCCTCCTTTCTCTTCCTCCTTTCTCCTTCCTCCCTCCTTCCTCCACCTCCACCTCCACCACCACCTTTACCACCATCACCACCTCCACCACCTCCTCGACCACCCTCACCACCACCCCCACCCTCACCACCTCCACCCACCACCCTCCACCTCCCCCACCCCCTCCCTGAGTCGCTATCGCGGGCAACGTGATAGTGTGTTATGCGGCCGCAGCGGTCTGGATATTTCCGCGTCAAGCCTCGTCAAGCCCCTTCAAGCCGACGGGCAAGATTCGAGGGCGGTTTTGCACAAAGCAAGCCCGGGTCTGGAGGGAATTCGGCAAACACCTGGATTTGTTTTTGGAGATAAGGGAGGGTTGCGTTTGAACGGGGAAGGGAAGGCGGGTTGGGTGGGGGTGGGTGGGGAGGGTATGTTGTCTTCTTTTAAAGTTTAAATGCTGTGTTTGTTTTTCTTGTATTTTTTCTGTCTGTTTGCTCTCTCTCTCTCTCTCTCTCTCTCTCTCTCTCTCTCTTCTCTCTCTCTCTCTCTCTCTCTCTCTCTCTCCTCTCTCTCTCTCTCTCTCTCTCCGTCCGTCGACTGCTCTTGTCTCTTTTCCCTCTCTATCTCCCTCACCCTCTTTCTACTCCCTCACCCTCACCCTCTCCCTCTCCTTCACCCTTTCTACTCCCTCACCCTCACCCTCACCCTCTCCCTCTCCCCGCTCACCTCCCGCACCCAGAGCTCCCTTTCCGCCGCAAGGTCC